CTGTTTTTGGTTTATCAAGAAAAAAGTCCATTTAAGATTCTTAAGATATTTTCATGTCAAGTTTTATTTAATTTAAAATAGTCTTTAAATGTTTTTTTCCAGAATGACTTCAGCTAAATTTCTAAGCCGTTCCTTTTTTAATCTGATTATTAAATGATTATTAAATAAAATAATTAATTTATAATGAGAGTTATCTTATCAAGAAAATTGATTGTTTAATTAATGAGTATTTCATCTTTATTAATGATTAATTTAGTTGATTCAAAACAATTTTATAATTCAACAGAATGAAATAATTTTATTGTAGTTATTTCCATTGTTGTGCCCCGTACGTCCAAACATCCAGGAAATAACACATCATCATCAGTCGAATCTAATTTAGCGCAATCTATTTAATTTAATCCACTGAGATTAACAAACTAAATAATTTTGTATATTTGCTTTCAGATTTAACCCTTTAAAGCCCGATCCAAGAATAAAACAAAACAGGAAATTTCTTTTCTTTTGGTTTGAATTCCTTATTTGGCCTTTTAACAAAATATGTAAAAAGAAAAAACAGAAATACATTTTTGATATTAATAATTTATTACTATGCGATAAGTCAAGATAATATTTTGTGTCTTCTCCCCTCTGTTATCAGGTATATTTGATTGTGTACAATAGGATTTTGAGCAAAGTTTTTACTATTAAATTATGCAAAAGGTGTCAGACGCAAAACCGTATGTATCAAATACGATACATTTGGCATTATAGGGTTAAGCTTTAGTCAGTTCAGTTTAGTTCTTTCTAAAACATATTGAAAATGATAAACAAAATGAAATCCTGTTAACCTTTTATTTCCTGCACAGTCCCTCGCTGTGGGGTTTAATCTTTAATGTTCTCATCAGTGACCTCCAATCACCTCCAATCACCTCTAATCACCTCTGATCAGCTGCGGATCCTGTGAGGAATCGAGCGCCTGAATGCTGTGGTTCATATTTATCTTCATTTCCCTCCCTGTCCTCATCCTAAAAGTCTTTTTAATGTTGTTCCAGGTCCTCAAACAGCATCGATCACCTGCACAGCAAGCGGGACTCGGCCTACTCCTCCTTCTCTACCAGTTCCAGTATTCCAGAGTACCTCGCCTCGGCGCCTTCGTTCAGTCCAGAGCGCTCCTATTCTCTGGAGACCGTCCCTCAGAGGGGAGGGGGGAGTGCAGAGATGCTGCAGGCTGACATCCGTTACGTCCGGACGGTTTATGACGCCCAGCATGGTCTGTCTCAAGAGCATGAGCTGAACTTGTCCAGAAGATCGGGGCCAGGAAGGGATCCTCAAGGTCAGCTTCCTGCTGATCAACCAGCTGAGGGACGTTTTTCTTTAACTAATAGCGAATATTTGGCTGATGCTGTAGGTTCAGTTGGGGGGGTCTGCTACCGCGGTGCAAATGGCAGCAATGCCAGCAGCGGCGGCGGCGGCGTACCCGCTTCAAACCGACACAGTGTGGGACCCATTTGGGGCCAGGCGGCCAGCCACAACTCCTACGAGAGCCTGAAGGGGGCCCCGGCTCCACCGAGGCGCAGCGACAGCTACGCCGCCATCAGGAACCACGAGAGGCCGAACTCCTGGTCCAGTCTGGACCACGGCCGCTCGCTGCGGTGGGTAGCTGTGGCAGCGACAAAATAAAAATCTAAAAAATGCTTTGAACCATTTAAGATTTATGAGCTGAACAATATGGAGCCATAAAGTTTGACCAAAACATTTTTGTTAAACTCAGAAAAAAAGATTAAAATCTGAAAATATATAAAAAAATTTTTTTATTTTTCCTAGATTCAAGTTTTTTTCTGTTTCAGATTGTTGCTTTTTGAGGTGGAGGTGGGTTTAGATGACACGGGGTGTGGAATGATGACTAAGAGCTTTGGTCCCTGAACAACAGTTCCCTGATGGTGTGTTCAGGAACCATAGGAACTAAAGTTTGTTTAAAAAGTCATTGATATTTTATGTTTGTTTGATTGGTTTTAAAAAATAACGGATCTAAACTCCATGTCTTCTAAGTCCCGACCCCTTCAAAACGGAAAAAAATATATTTTAATGTTTTTAATCTTTTTTTTAGTTTCAAAAACATTTTTAAACAACAAAAAATATTGCCCCACTTTAAAAAAAAACCTCAATAAATGATGGCAATAAACTTTTGTTCAAAAGATGATGTAAAGTGTGAGGACTGTGTGAAGGAGATGAAACATGTAGATAATCTGATTTTATTCTCATGTTCCATGCAGGTCTCTGCAGAAAGGCTCCTGGCATCACTCTAGCGGTCAATTGGCTCCAGGTAACCACACACTGACCTTAGAGCAGGCCTGCTGAAAGTCGGCCCGCTGTCCTGCAGATTTTAGAGGTTTCACCGATTCTGGTGATTGCAGATCAGCAACTTCCTGTTAATCAGCTTTCAATTAAATCAGTTGTGCTGAAGCAACCAAACCTCTAATGCTACGTTCAGATCGCACACAATTTCAGCAGCAAAGAAGCTTCTGCTGCTTCATCTCTGATCCACATTAAGGTCAGACGTCCAGTAAAGTGAGTCCAGATGCTTCTGCTGCTCCTGTGTTCGATGCCAGAGAGCAGCTTTGCTATATTAGCTGTGATCAGCGGGTAGAAAGTAGTTAGAATCTATGTTGAAGTGAGAAAGTCCTCCTGAAAACATGGTCTGTGCAGTCAGTTCATCCAGATTACCATCCTGCCTTCAAAGATTATTTCTCTGTGGGAGCCGCTCAGACCCCCACATACCGGCGCTGCGCTGTCACTGGGAATCCCCAGCAGCAGCTGCCTCAGGCCCGCTCGCCTCTCCAGGGTTTTCCCCTCCTGTTGGTGGCGGCTGGAAGTAGATGTTAGCGTTTTTCAGGTCTGTGCTACAAACTGCAGGCAGCAGGATAATAAAAGCCAACATATTCTGCCGGCAGGTTTCTACAATTGAAGTTAATTTAGGCGTTAATAAACTGTTTCAGAGGAGTGATCATAGCGCTCTGCATCAGCAGTGCTGCGTCTGACTCCCTGCCAGCTCCCAGATCAGCTTCTCTGATTGGTTGATGCGGCGCGTCCAGCAGCTATAGCTCAATATTTCCAACTCCAGCAGCTGCTGCTTCTGAAGCGCGTCACGCCTCAGATGCTTAGAAGCTCATGGCGTGCTGCTCCTGCTGCTCCAGACGCTGCAGGACCTTTTGATGCACGTCAACCGTAGACTTTGCATGTAAACCAGCTGCTTCTGCTGCCCGAACTTAAACTTAGACAACTTTTATTTTCATTTTGTTTACACAGAGTATATACAAAATGAAATTTTGTTTATTACAGCTTTCCAGACAGTAAATGAACATTTCCAAAGCGCTTTAGGTGTGAACGTAGCATCATACGTGCAGGATAGTGGCCCTTGAGGGCCGACTTTGGGCAGGCCTGCTCTAGAGTAAAGGGAATTAAGTTCCTGCAGTCTCCTATGGAGGGTTTGGTCAGCAGTTTTCTCGGTTTTCTATATGTCTCACAGAATAAATCACTAATCTGAGGAAACATAGATATATGTCTTTCAAAAGTTCAACCCAAAAGAGATGCATGGGACAAAGACAGTAATGGACTGTCCCCTGGGGTCTCCACATATTGGGTCATAAACTTTTCATAGATGAGCAGAAAGCCTGGAGAGCTACAGATTAAAAAGACTTTCATAGAAAAGAAGAAGGAAATCCTGTTCAGATGAGAAATTTACCCGACAAACGCTGATGTCTCACCTTTGTTACAGCAAAAGGATCATATGGCGCTGAAGGGCAGCTCCACACTGTGATGGAGAAGAGTCCAGAGAGCAGTCCCACCATAAAGCCCAGACAGGGCGGAGGGTTCTCCCAGCCCCCGTCCCCAACCGAGCCCCTACCCTCCCCCCCGCCAAGCCGTCTTATTCTTCCTGCCAGCGTATACCCAGTTCCCCAGCCTGAGCCACAGTACGCCCAGATACCAAGCTCAGGTCCAGGTCCTTCTGGGGTCTATGTAGCCCTGACCAAGGAGAGTGGCCGGCAGCAGGGAGTCAGGAGCGAGGGGGTGAGGGATGAACCAGCATCAGCTGCAGAAAATGGCCACCAAAGTATAACTTCTTCAGCCTATTCCCGCTCCTCCTATTCCGGACCCAGCACTTCACAGCTCAGGTCTCGGGTTCCAGAGGCAGACAGGTGAGCTTTGGATTTAGTTACTCCCTAAACCAGAGAAGAGACAGTCTTATTTATTATTTGCAGGTTGAAGAGTTGTTGTTTTCTTGTTTTTTCTGCTCATTTTAACTAAATCTGGTCTCTTTAGTTGGCACCAGCAACCGGAGTCCGACAGCGACGCCCAGAGGCCGTATGCAAAACCTACTGGAGGGGGATCCGAGGGTCCGACTCGACCCCAAAAACCTTCCAGAAACTATGGACCACTCAGCCAGAACTTCCAGGAATCACTTTTAAGCCAGGAAGACCAACAAGAACAGAACCATGAACTCAGGATTAGCCCAGTCCACTCAGTCCCAGATCTTAGAACCTTACCCTGCCAGGAGAGGAGTGACTCAAGAGACAAGACCCGGTACGTACGGGATCCTCCTGCTGCTTCATTCACAGCCTCCTTTCCCTTAATCTTTCATGATGATGTTGTGCTTCTTTTCACTCAGACCAAGAGACCAGTCTGGTGTTCATTCAGAACCATCCGAATCTTCAAGGGTTGCCCAGGGCCAGGTGCCCCCCACAGCCGGTCCTGGCTCAGCAGCTTCTCAGCACCAGCACTGGAAACACAGAGACTCGGACTTTGAGCATCCTCTGACCCGCCTGGAGATTGCTCTCGCTGAGGTCCAACGCTGCGCCAGCCCCAACAGTCATGGCAGCAATGGCACCAACAGCCCAGCCCGCAGTCTCTCCGTTCTGGAAAAAATCAGTCACTTTGAGCGTCGGAAAGAGGGGGGGAAACAACGCAGCCACAGCAGCAACTCCTATAGCAAAGCTCTACATATAGGGGTGAGTCTTCTCACCGAAATTCAGATTTCCTGCAACCTCAACTTAAATGCATCAGATTTCTAAAGCATTTTTTACAAATCTGCTACTTTATGTTTATGATTTTTATTCAGATGACTGAAAAAGGTCGGAGTTCCCCCTGTGGAGCAGAGGACATCAGAAATATGCTGGAGAGGAGCACGAAAGGGACCAAAACCCACAGGACGATGAGTTACCGAGGAGCCAGCAATGAATTCATGAGGAACAGGTTGGAAAGTCTAAATGGAAACAAGAGAATGTTCAACTGAAAAAGCCTTAGCTCAGACTCTACAGGCCTCAGTTAGCGGGTCCAAGGCTAAGGTCCGCCACAGGACTAGAGACAAACTGAACAAGTAGCGTTGGTAGGGAAGGGTTGAGAGAGAAAGCCTATTTTCTCAAAATGAGAAGTTCAAGTACCTTGGATTTCCTTTAAGGAATGAGGGAATCATGGAGTGGAAGATCGACTGGTGGCAAACCACCAATGGCAGACTGGTGCAGCTGAGCCAAAAGGGAAAGTTTTCGGTCTATATTCCTACCCTCAATTATGGCCATGAAATTAGGACCATGGTTGAAAGAACAAGATCCTGGATACGAGTGGCTGAAATGAGCTTCCGCCGTAGGGTGGCTAGTCACTCCCTCAGAGGTAGGGTGAGGAGCTTGGCCATCTGAGAGAGGCTTGGAGTGGAGCCGCTGTTCTGTCAGATCAACATACGCTGTCAGATCGGCATACGATTAGTTTTTATCTAACCTGAATGAATTCAGTCACAATATAAACCACATGCAATGTTTTCTATGATTTCAAACATAACCTAATCGAACCAAATTTAAATTCCCTGCACATGTTTTTTTTTACTACTTAAATAACAAAAATTCAACGTGGGAATAATTCTCTATTGCACATGCGTATTAGAACAACATATGCCGATCTGACAGCATATGCTGTTCTGACAGAACACCGCTTCTCCAGTTCAAGATGAGTCAGCAGAGGTGGCTCGGACATCTTTTTCCGATGCCCCCTGAATGCCTCCCTTAGGAGATGCTTCCAGGCACAGTCCACCTAGAGGAGGCCCAGGGGATGACCCTGGACTCTCTGCAGGGACTATGTCTCCTACAGCAGACCTGTAGGAGGTTTCTGAGGAGAGGGAAGTCAGGGAGTCTCTGCTGAGACTGCTGCCCCCAAAACCCGGTCCTGGATAGGTGGAAGATGAAAAATATGAGTGTTAGTCTCATTTCTCTTTAAGGAATAGCAGCATGACTTACAGTTGGTTTGCAGCATAGCATCTTAACCAAGTATGAGATTTTAGAAGCACTGTACTTTTGACAAATGCATCCGCTTGGATAGGGTACCTTGCAGTTGTCGACGTGATCCCAAACTCTTTTGTGCTCCAAAGTTTCCTAAAGTCATAGGTAGGCGTCAAAGGAACATGGATCCAAAAGCAGCATTAGATTTTATACAGAATGCCTAAAAATGAAAGAAACACAGCATTGCAGTGGTCTAGTCAAAGTTCAGGCATCCGCCCTCAACCCGATTGAAAACGCTGTGTTGGGAGATGTGCAAAGATAAAATGTATGCATGCCTCCATCTACTGAAGCAGCCCTGAAAAGAAGAGCATTGGTGAATTTGCTCACAACAACATGAAGGGTTGATCGAATCAGTCAGGAAATGTCTGGACTGAGCCACTGCTTCTGAGACGGTTCTATGGGGTATTAGAATATGGATTGTTCTTTCTTTTCACAGATTTTTCTGGCTCTTGATTCTGGTGTTTATCTCAGATTATGCTTGCCTAATCCTAAAAGCATTTCTGCTTTCCTGGATTTATTCTGACTATGGCCAGAGTTGCACATCCAAAGGTGAACTTCCTGCTGTTTGTCCTTCAGGACTCCAGCTGATCCTCTTTCAGCCCTGCAGAGAAGCCGCAGCAGCTTTCAGCTGGATGGCTCAAAGGAAGGAGAAGTCAACAAGAACTCCCATTGGCAGCAGGAACTCCAGGAGGTACCGGATCCCCTGCAGGACACATCCTCTAGCAGGTCAGAAAGCTAACAAGGTTCAGAGTTCTCCAACATGAGTATGTTCTTGACCTGATGTTGGGTATTTCTACAAGCAGATCTTGCAAGGATTCTGTGAGAGCTACCCAGTGCACTTCCTCCAGACAGAGAGACCTAAGCTCCTCAAGTGGTCCTCAGCCTTTCCCCGTTCCTGCTAGGTACCACTCGCTGGAGAAAAAAGGTCCAAAAACCAAGCCCAAACCCCAGAGCATTGCCATTACCCATCACCCACAAGTCACTTCCCCCCATACGCCGAAGGAGAGGCATGTGGTCAGCCCAGACAATGGAGCCCAGAGTCCGCCACCCCTCCCCAGCGTTCCACCCGTTGGACCTCCTCCTTTGACAAGGATTTGTGGCCGCAAACGTCTGACAGCGGACAAGAAGAAACGCTCCTACTCAGAACCCGAGAATATGAATGAAGTTGGAGTTTCGGATCCAGAAACGGCTGCCCTCTTCCGACGCGGAGGAGGTAAAAGGATCTCAGTAGTTCTAAAAACAGTTGTTCACCTGGTCATTGTCTAATGTCTTCTGGTTCTTCAGAAACTAGTGTAGCAGACCGACGGAAGATGTTTGAACTTGCAGCAAGTCATGTTGGTACTGGAGCTGTGTCGAGGTCTGATCTACGGCAAGTTCGCCAAGACGCTCTGATGGAGTACGTGGAGAGGAAGCGAGGAGTCAGGAGAGAAGAGGGGGGGCACAGGAGTGGACCAAGGCCACGCAGTGCGTTTTTCCAGCCTGAGCAGGGCTTCCACACAGGTCAGTGAAGATCCGGGTCCTGTTTGGTTTGTCATGGTGTTCAGCGCCATGTTGCTGTGTCCCTGTTCCAAAACAACTGAATGTTGTGAAGTTTTTCTGCTCATGACACATATCTTTCTTCTCCTGTTCCATAGACGCGTACAGCCTCTCCTCCAGCTCTAGCCTTCTCTCCGTCCAGGACATCGGCCAAGATCAGGGCATCCTTTCTGAAGAGAGCTCGCTCTGCTCCACCCTTACTCTTGGATCTGACCTGAGGAGCCTTCAATCAAACCTTTTCTATCCAGGCAGGGTGACGACTCCCAGACCTCCAGCTCAACCGATTCCTGGGTAAACAACCTCAGACACCTGCTTTACTGCCTGGTTTTAGACGCTACCAAGTGGAGTTCAGTGGATAGCATTGCCAGCAGATTGTTTTTGATGGTTGTTGATCTTTTCCTGCTCTTCCTAAAGGTCTGCATTCTCTCAGTTCTCATTCCAGCTCCAGTCTTGATCTAAATACCCAAATCATCCAAGATCTGAAACCTGAAGAAGGAATAAACAATTACAGTCGGTCTTCGAGGAAAGATTTGCACCGAGGCCAAGAAAGGCAAAACGCTGAACCACAACAGAAGCCTGGACTCTCTCCGAAACTCAACGAGGCTTTGCAGAGGGCCGGGTCAGGTCGCAGGTCTGGGAGGTCGGCCTCGGCTGAGGATCTCCTGGAGCGTTTGGAGAAGCAACACTCACCCAAACACGCTCGCTCTCGCTCGTCTCCAACCACAGAGAAACCTGACCAGGTAATCTTAAGATAAGCTTACAAGCTTTTACAAATTACTGTACCAGGAGAGGCCCCATGCTAAGAAGGGAGTCGCACTGACAGAACGTTTTGTGTGTCAGAACTTATTTTCAGGAGATGTCAAGATGTTTGGTGTCTCCTTCTCTGAATCTGGACGCTGTGCTCTGGCTGCAGACAGGTAGGACGCATCTTCATTCATAGAACATTCAAACAGACTATCCACAGGTCTCTCTTGGTTTTATTTAAATGTAAGTCTCCCCAAAATTATCTTTCCTTGCATTGAAACTATATAAATGGTGTCTATATAGTATCTATATATACTTTTTTACTTTAAGTGTTTTAATATGTGTCTGATAGTCATCTTAGTCCTGCCCTTTTTCAATTGTTGCATGCAGCTACATCTCAAACTTTACAACGAAACCGCAGGGTTTAAAAGTTCACAGCTCACCATGTTTGTTCTCTCACTGTGCGACCCGACGCTCTGATGAGAACGTTAGAGATTGAACTAACAGATTCTGCAGAGTGGGAGAATAGAGATAGAATGAAGCAGAATGATGAAAAAGGGGTCCCTATGTCCTCCAGCAGTCTAAGCCTATAGCAGCATAACTATAGAGGTAGCTCAGGATAACCTGAGCCACTCTAACTAGAAGCTTTATCAAAAACAATTAAAACTTACTGTTGTCCAAACTTACAGGTTACCTAAAGTGTACTTAATGGGGTACCCAAGGGATACCTGAAGAATAATTACTGCAAACTGGCAGGATCCTTTCAGGTTCTAATGGGTCACAGAGAAGTTTCATAAACATATAAGTTTCCTATCTTACCTGCAGAGTTCTTAGTAAACAGGTGACCATCTATTACCTTATTACTCATAGGGGACCTATGGTGAAAACAAAATATATGACAGGTATGTTTTTTGATAAAAGTAAGCTAGCTTTAGCAATTATATGTTAGCATCAATCTTTATGGCTTATATCTTTATTCCGTAATATCTTTGATTATATAATCAATGAATAAAAGTCATTGAAAGCAGATATCATAGTTGTTTGTTACATTATAAAGATATTCATTATTTTTAAATATTGAAAAACACTTGATTAAATACTGTTAAAAGCTGGAAGATATATGAAACTTATTATGCTAACTGGTCCAAACTGATACTGCGATGGACTGGCGACCTGTCCAGGGTGGAACCCGCCTCTCGCCCGTAGACACCAGCACCCCTCGCCAGCCCAGTAGGGATTTAAGCTTGTAAGACAATGGAAGGATGGTCCAAACTAATACTAATACTCTGTCAGCAACACCAGAAGTACATATTAGACCTCTTTGTAAGCATCCTGTAGGAATATAAGATCTGCTCTGAAGATGATGATGGTTTGCTGTCTGTGTTCAACAACATAAACCAACAACATAAATGTTTGGACGTCTCAGAGTCACAGAGGAGTAATATTTATGGATAAAAGGGACAAAAACACAGTGAAAAAAAAAAATAAATAAATGAGGAATTAATGTTGGAGTCATTGAGAAGAGATATAATGAGAATGAAAACCAAAGAGGGAGGAAAGGGTGGCAGGAAGCAAAAGGATAGATACAATCTAAACTTTGCTTCTATTCTGTTACATGTAGCTCTATTTTTATCCACCTGGTTCTGAATTAGAAGTTTGCATTTTAAACCCACAGCGAATTGATTTCTTTAATTTCTTCAAAAATATGTGGGTGAGGTGTTCCTCAGGGATGAGTGCTGGCCACCCTGCTTATTACGTGCTTTATGTTGCCCAGCTTTATGTTGCCCAGCTTTATGTTGCCCAGCTTTATGTTGCCCAGCTTTATGTTGCCCAGCTTTATGTTGCCCAGCTAACAGACTAAAATGTTGCTGGAAAATTAAGTTCAGGGAGAAGAGAATACACCTAATAGAAGATTAATGAATAGATGCAGATTAAAACTCTTTATTTATTTCCATTATTTACCATTTTCCATATGGTTAAACATTTAGGGGTCAAAGAGCTACAGAGAATGGAGGAATTTTTGTTTTCATTTGAAAGACAAGAATACATGATTAATGTTGTCTAAACGGTGGAGAACAGGGGGAGCTGGAGTTAGAATAACATTACCCAAGATAAAAAAGAGAATCAAATGAAGGACAGGAAGTTAAGAGAACATTTTAAAAAGATGCACAGAAGCTATTTGCATTTTTAATATCACCTCTGATTGTAAACATTTTAGTTGATTCTTGTAGGCCTGCTATATCATTTACACATAAGGTCTAATTAACATTAAAATGTTTTTTATTTCTTTGTCTGTCAGACCTGTGAACATCCACGCATCAGAGAGCCTTAATCCTCCTCAGTCCTCCCAGCACAGGGACAGCGATCTCCAGCCTGCAGCGTCTTCTCCAGGTGAGGTGGTTAATGCACTCAGAAATCTAACAGTATTAAATCATTTCCCTCCAAACTGAGGCTGGGATCTTTTCTCTCCTCTGCTTCCAGACGTCTCTCACCCTCCCGTCAGTCGCAGGGAGCGACAGAGGAACGCGGAACGTGTCAAAGCCTACAGCACCTCCACCTTAGCAGCCTCTGTCGGCCTCCCCTGCCCCTTCTCTCCTGCTGAGCGTCAGCAGGAAGGTGGCGCTGCTGAGTGGAGAGCAGCTGAGAGGCTAAGCCAGGCCAACCTGGACTCCATTTCTTTCCCGGAGGTCCAGCCGACCAGTGATGGCGAACGAGGGAAAAACGCCGCCGGTGGAAACGGAGACAGACCGACGAGACACAGTCTGAGCGACGGCAGAATGTTAGACGAAGCGTCGAGGGACGGACACCGAGGCAGAGCCCTCAGTTTGGACTTGATAGGAAGTACTGCTGAAAACGGCAAACCAGTGTCACCAGTCACATCGGCCCCGCCACCATACACCAGTGGGAGCCCCACACCCTCCCATCAGGTAGCCCATCCACACCTGTCCTCTCTCAGGATCTCTGAATCCAGCCTCCTCGGATACTTTGAGCAGCAGGAGCTGCAGACGTCAACGGGAAACCTTCAGGGGGAGTTTGATGAGGTCTTCCTCCAAAATCCTTCACCTCCTCCTCCCCCTCCCCCTCCTCTAACTCCACCCTTCAGGGACATGGACATCATGGAGGACTTTCCTCCTCCCCCACCTCCTCCAGCTGAGATGGAACCTGAATATCAGCCGTTACAGAGGTTTGTTCCCAAACATCCAGATTAACCGTTAAACCTTCTGCCCACTAACTGTCCCTCTGTTCTTCAAAGCTCTGACCCAGAGACCGTGAACATCTCTGAACCGGCCCGGAGGTCCTCGGCTCAGTCCCCTCCTCCCTCAAAGCCGCAGCCGTCCAGCTCCGTCGGTACGTCCACCGACGCCGAGGACGTCTTCGTCTTTGAGTACGACCCGCTACCCAAGAGGGAGAAGACAGCAGAGGAGCTGAGAGTGGAGGCGCTGGCTCGTCAGCTGGTCTGTAGTTTGACTCCTGGTAGCTTTTATAGAGCGCAACAAAAATAACTAAAACTAAATGGATGGTATTAGATCAGATTCTCTGATGGATGATCTTTTTTTAGTTCAGTTTTGTTGTTTTTTAAATGTTCTTCTGAAACAAAAAGTGGATTTCACTTCAAACTGAGCAGAATGTGATTTATTGCTGCTTAAATCTGCTTAATGTTTGGTTTTTTGCTCTGTGTTCTGGTGTTTAGGTGTTGCAGGAGCGCTCTCTGGCGCCCCTGCTGGACACCTGGGGGGGTGAGAGCACTATGAAGCTGATGGAGGAGATCTTTTCCAACAGCAGCCCGACTGCTGGAGCCCAGGAGGAGCAGAAAGGCGGTTCATCCCGGAGTGAAAGGTGCTTCAGACCTTACAATAAGTGTTCTAGGTGAAACTGCTGTTTCTGAGTTGATACTTTAGATCCAATCTGTCGTGATTTTTCGGTTTGCTAATCCTGCAGAGTTGAAAAAATCCCACAAATGTTTGCAGCTTAGCAGTCAGTGACCCTTTAAGGCTGGTTTATGCTCGGAAACCAGGTCGTCTGCGTGTGTTGCCGTTAACGCAGATATGCCCCGCCCCTTCCGTAGACACTCTGCTGCACCCGTCACTACCCGATCGGCCCTGGAAGCACGATCCGTCCTGCGCATGCGCTATCAGCTTATTTACGTATCCAGATATACATTTGGGTCGCCCTCAATTTTATTTTGTTAAAAAGACCTAAATGACGTTTTTCCCTCCACAAAAATTATACTATAAACTATAACGTCTTAAAGGTTAATAATGTATTTCCTGAGAAAACAAAGGCCTTATAATCTTTTCTGTTTTATCACTCTGTGCCCGATCAGTACAGGAAATGGGATCCGACGCTACGTCCTGGAGCTAACTCTATCCGCTTCAGATTTAGACATAAAGTTGGTTTATTTGAGTAGACAGGACAGGAGGCCTCTGATTGGTCAAATTGGGATGGAAATGTCTTTTGATTTCACACCAAATTCAGAAGGTTCGGCAAAGAATAGCAAACATACACGATGCTAACACCAAAAACATGGAGAGTAAAAATGCAGCAAGTAGTTAAAACAACTTTCTAATGAAAATACTCCAGACCACTAGGGGGCGATGATTATCCGCTTATATGGGATGAGAACATAGACAATGCTGCGACTTTTACCTTTTAAAAAGCTTTGTTTTTGCTACTTTTTGCTTTGCATGTGTTTTCTGTATTAACATCATTTATGTATTTGCAGCTCGTTTGCATTTTGCTGCTCAGTTTTACATGATTGCAGCATTTTTTCTATACTTTGTTCTTTGTGTGTTGGTCTCAGTTTTGTGATTTGACTAATTTTAGGGGTTTACAGGTTTACAAATGAGGATTTAACAGAACTTTCAAAATAAGAGCTGAAACATTTAAAGCAATACTTTTAGCCCAGACTTTCAAAATGAAGGTCTTTAAACTGGGAGTTCTTTCAAAAGAAAACTGAAGGATAAGAAACATAAAAAACAGAATTTTTAACGTGAAGCTTTAAATGAAAGTGAATATTTATTGTTCCAAATTGATCTTAGACTTCAGACAGATTTTTTTCTGGACAGATACTAAGATTATTTCCCAGTCTTGGGTTTAATTGCTCCTTAAGCAGCTTTTAATCAGGACAATGTTTCTTAGTGTTCAGGTAGAAGCTGCAGCTGTGCTGCTCTTCCCAAGTTTTCTGTGTCAGACAGAAGGTCACAATCAGCATGTTTATACCTGCTGAGGTCAACAGCAGGCTGAGCTTTAAGCAGCTGAAGATCAGGGAGAAACCTTGAAGAAAAAGCCTTTATCACTCAGACTGTGTTCGCTGACAAACTCCTTATCACTGCTGACGGAGCTGAGGAAGACCTCTGAAAAGAAAGCGACATGCTGAGCATGAACTCGATGTTCATTAGAAACATGTTTCTAATTAGAAAACATGTTTCTAATGAACTGAATGTTCAGTGAAAGAACAACATTTCAATACCGGAAGTCAACACTTTAGCTTGAGGGGATGTAAAGCCTTCAGAACTCGCTGTCAGCTGGAGCGATGAGGTAACCTGGAGGTCACAGAGTGTTTTTCTTGGCTGACTGTCAGAGCCAGTCTGAGGTGGCATCTTCAGGAAAGACTGGAGAGACCAGACTAACCTGATCACTGCTTCACAGCAGCCAGATTTCAGCCTCCAAACGTTTCCTCAGTCTTTCCTCAAATGTCCTCACGCTCAAAAACACACTTTGACCTGAAAGTGACAGTAAAATGGAGACAATCTGACAAAGAAAAGCTCAGGAGAACCTGGTGTCCTTCTGCTGTTGGTCAACACTGACATCTAGTGGTCAGCTGCTGTAACTGCTAACATTTGGTCCATTTATATTCATAAATAAGTCAATACACTGAGCAAATAAATGTTTTTATTCATTCAATTTAAAAAGACTAAGTAAATAAATAAAGAAAACATTTAAAAGTAAATGTTAGTCATTCATCAAATAAAGTAATGTAATGATTTTTGTACTTTTGTCACACCCAGATGTTTCAGACCAAACTAATTTGAATGTAAGACGAACAAGTTAAACATATTTCTGTGTTTTAAATGAAGTTAGTTTTTTATGAAGGAGAAAAAAGTCCAAACCACCCAGTCCTGGTTTGAAAAAGTAAACTGGTTTTTCCACCTTTTAGAACAACAGCTGCAGTCGAACGTGTGAAAAACTTTATCTCTGTTGTAATTCGGTCACTTTTGAAGCTTTTCCTGCTTTTTAAGATTTATCTACAGACTTTCACATATTTCCAGTCAGATATTAGAGAACATATTTATTCAGCCTTAAAATTGTTTCACGATGCAAAGTTGAACAGAATTATTTTGTAATCAGTTAATTGTTTTATATTTTATCTTGATTATAATTTTATTTTAGTATAAAGTATCATTTTAAAACTGTTTCTTTCACAACGGTTCAAACCTTTAATGGCTTTTTATTGATTATATGATGAGGAAAATAAGTATTTCAACATCCTGCTATTTGCAAGTTCTCCCACTTAGAAATCATGGAGGGTCTGAAATTATCACTGTAGGTGAATCTAAAAAAACAAAAAAATTCTGAAATCATAATATATGTTTTTTTTGTTTGTTTTTTTTTTTACTATTTATTGGTATGATAAAACTGTATCTGAACACCTGAGAAAATCAATGTTAATATTTGGTCCAGTAGTCTTTGTTTGCAGTTCCAGAGGTCAAACCTTTTTCTGTAGGTTTTCACCAGGTTTGCACACACTGCAGGAGGGATTTTGGCCCATTCCTCCACTCAGATCTTCTCTAGATCAGGCAGGTTTCTGGGCTGTCGCTGAGGAACACAGAGCTTGAGCTCCCTCCAAAGATTCTCTATTGGGTTTAGATCTGGAGACTGGCTAGGCCACACCAGAACCTAGATCTGCTTCTTCCAGAGCCAATCCTTGGTTATCCTGGCTGTGTGCTTCAGGCCATGGTGATGCTGGAAGACCCAGCCTCCATCCATCTTCAATGCTGTAATAAGGAGAGGTCATTAATGTAGTGCAGTCGGCCTGTCCCATGTGCAGAAAAACAATCCCAAATCATGATGCTACCACCCCCATGCTTCACAGTAAGGAAGGTGTTCTTTTTCCTCCCAACACGGTCTGTGGAATTATGACCAAAAAGTTTTATTTTGAGATCGGATCCCAGCTTTCATCTAAAATGTTTTTTTCAAAACACATTTTTAAACAATACTCCAATCTTTACAGCCAAATTCATCAGTATTTCTTGAATTCTAATTCAGATTTGAGAGAAAACTGATATTTTAACTTAAATTAAGTTAAAAATATGTAAAATTGCTAATTTGTGAATATATATGGACCTAATAAGAAATAGAAATTTAATTAAACCTAATTGAATAGAAATTTGACTTCATGCAGCTCTCTTAATATATTTTTTATTTCATGCTTTTCTGTTCCCCCATGAAAACACCATGGCCCCCCCTGGCCCCCTCCTGGCCCCCTGGTACATTTGGTCTAGAACCGCCACTGGTGATCGTGGATGTTTGACACTTCTCCACGCCATCAGAATCCACTGGCAGACTTGGGGAAACTTGCTTTTTTTCGCATGCGAGCAGTTTTAGTGAATGTTGATCATCCTGAACCTGTAGCGCTACTTTGAACCAACTGATGTCGCTGCAGTTGCTCTTTTTCGCGCTCAGTCGTACGGCACTACTTTGCCTGGCGGATGGACATGTGACCAACATACCACTCCTTTCCATGGATACTGTGTGTCTGATCACATGACCTTCTGCCAGGTAAAGGATAGCCGTACGACGCAACAAACCAAAACATCCGCTGATGTCATTAAAACCATGAAAAAGGCGACGATAAGAGGCAGAGTTCAAAGCTTGGCGAAAAAGTAGCAGCTTTCCGTATGAAAAATACGCTAGTTAAAAAAATCATTCATTGTGATTTCAGTTTTTTATTTTTTAGATCATGTCAGCTAAAAGCTACGATGACAATCTAAGTAGCAGGGTGTTCAAATACTTATTTTCCTCACTGTATTTGTTAAAGCTTAAATGATGTCACACATTAAATTTACTTTTAATTAATTATTTTTTCCCTTAGAAAAAAAGAACCAAATTTCTTTCATTTTTTTACGTAAATTATTTACGTTTTTTTATTCTTCTTTCTAAATCTGAATTTATTGAAGGATACATTTTCAGTGAATTATTATAATTTATCAGAAAATAACTTGCAGTCATTTGGAAATTAAGTTAATTTAAATCAAAGGAAAAAAAAATCTGTTTGTCTTTTTGCTTGTTTTAAAATCTGGATTTAAATCTGATTATTTTCTGGATTATTAATCTGTTGTTTTGATTTCCAAGGATTCAGCCTGATATCTTTGATGCAGACCATCGGGGGGAGACCGATGTGGATGAGGAGATGGACCTGAACACCAGGAAGGTAAACATCTAACTTTCCAATAAGATATATAAAAAAAAAAGCAAAGGAGCGATTAATCCCTCAGATTAAACCTCACCAACAATTGAGCTAAAACCAATTAAAGGGCCGCGACGCGTTAACGATGTCTGAGTCAGATTAGCAAGCTGCATCTATTTATGTCTGCAACAAATAAAAACTGGAGATGGAACAAAAAATAAATAAGGAAGGCAGCATAACTTTAAAATATATCCTAAAAACAAGCGTTATTGATAATATCGGATGAATGTAAATTATCCTAAAATGATTAAGAACTGAAAGAAATAAGAAAACTAGTAACAAAAGAAAATCAAACAAAATTTAAAGTAAGAAGATAAAGAATGTGTTTGATTATCTCTATCCTGACCCTTAATGGTCTTTAAAGGTTCATAAACTGTCAGACTTCAGCCATTGGCTGAAATAAATCAGTGTTTTTTTTTAAAGAAGGGTGCTATTTGCGTTCATCTCCACCAGGTGGAGCTCTGTGAGGCCCTGCAGATCAACCTGGAGGCCCTGCAGCGTGAGAAGAAGGCTCTGTGTGAGGAGCAGAGGGGCCACCGGGCCCTTGGGGCCAACGTGGAGGCGCTGATTCAGGAACAGCTCAAAACCAACGAGAAGGAGAAGTACAGCATCTACATTGGTAGGAAACCTGCCTGCAGACCTGCTTCACGACCATTTTACCTGCTGGGGGGGGGGTGAACTCAGCTGATGAGGTTGTTGTTTTCTGCAGGAGATCTGGAGAGGATCGTCAACCTGCTGCTGTCTCTGTGCAGCCGCCTGTCCAGAGTGGACAGCGCTTTGCTTTCTCTGGACAGAGATGAGCTGATGACGGAGGACGCTGCTGAGGAGAGGGTGAGACATACGGCAGGCCATCTTCACACATAATCAAACCACACTCCTTGATAGCCAGGAATGAAGCAATGATCATCGGTCTAAACCTCAGAGATTTACCATTGTGTAGGGACCCCCCCCCACATCCTGGTCACCCTGAACACTCCTCAGAGTCAAAGTTGCTGCAGAGTGAAGGACTTTAAGTTAATGTCAGGGTCTCTATGGCGATTAAATTAAAGTCAGAAGGAATCTGTGCAACGAAAGAGGCCAGAATGTTAAAGAGACGCCTCTTCATTTCTGCAACAGGGCGAGAGAGAGAGAGAGAGAGACGGTCCAGGTCATTCCATGGTCAGACTGATCAGAGGGTCTGAATCAACAGCGGGATATGCAGACGGATGCTAAGCATGCTAACCATGCTAAATGCTATGCTTTCCTTTAAAAAGTTTTTACAGAGGCTGCTGTCAGACAACAGCACGGCTTCCTCTCTGATCCTCATGTAGTCGGTTAGTGAGCGCCCTCTGCTGGTGGGCTGGAGGATAGATTTTAGGGTAGAAGTTAGAACAGAAGCATCGGGCTTTTAGCCCGTCTGCAGCGGCCAGGGCTAACGTTAGCCCGTCTGCAGCAGCCCTCTCTCTGCATAGCCGTGTGTGAAGGACCGCTGGCTCTGATGGAGGTTTGATGTTTTATTCAGTGTATTCTCATTATGAGTTCGTATGAAAACGTACGAAAAGTTATGCACCGTAATTTCGTACATTTTGGACGTTTTTTACGTCGCATGCGCATCTGACGCACCATTCACGAATATAGAATATAAATTACAATTAGCCCTAACCCTAAGATATAAAACAGCAAGCAACGTAGTTAGAGACATGAAGAAGTGATGATTGCGCTGTTTTTCCCAGTTTTACGTCCGTCNATGCTAAGCATGCTAACCATGCTAAATGCTATGCTTTCCTTTAAAAAGTTTTTACAGAGGCTGCTGTCAGACAACAGCACGGCTTCCTCTCTGATCCTCATGTAGTCGGTTAGTGAGCGCCCTCTGCTGGTGGGCTGCAGGATAGATTTTAGGGTAGAAGTTAGAACAGAAGCATAGGGCTTTTAGCCCGTCTGCAGCGTCCAGGGCTAACGTTAGCCCGTCTGCAGCAGCCCTCTCTCTGCATAGCCGTGTGTGAAGGACCGCTGGCTCTGATGGAGGTTTGATTATTTATTCAGTGTATTCTCATTATGAGTTCGTATGAAATCGTACGAAAAGTTATGCACCGTAATTTTGTACATTTTGGACGTTTTTTACGTCGTATGCGCATCTGACGCACCATTCACGAATATAGAATATAAATTACAATTAGCCCTAACCCTAAGATATAAAACAGCAAGCAACGTAGTTAGAGACATGAAGAAGTGATGATTGCGCTGTTTTTCCCAGTTTTACGTCCGTCCGCGGATCTGCTTTTTTTTTTCTGTCTGCCAGCGCACTGATGTGGTTTTTTGAGGAAAAACGTCCAAAAGTTACGAAATAGTGTTGCTCTAAATTTCATACTGAAAAGTTTGTTATATTTGTTGCCATAGCAACATTTTATGAAAGCTAAAATGTTGAATAGAGATACATGGATCAGGTTTCTACTGCATCCTGGCAGCTGGATCCTCCATGTCTCCTTTTCTGACTGAAGCAGAAGCTAAATGTCTGAAATGTTTCTCCCATTTGATTTAAAGTTTGACCTGAAACTGTGGTTTGGTTGCAGAAAGTAAAACATAAATATAAACAAAATAAAAACATACAATGTGTTCAGAGAAGCATAATTAATAAGGTATAAGTTTAGAGATGTAGAGAAAGTTTTCATTTCAAATAAAAGAAGGACTGAAAACAAATCAAAAAGGATTCTGGGAAACGAAACAGGATCAAATAAGGAAATGACTGAAGATCAAACTCCTGGATCCAGACTGAAGACATTATAGTGAGCTGGGAGACCTGAGACCATCAGCTGGAACTACTGGTTTCACATTTATTCATCATCAATAATTGGGTTAAAATAAAATTTCTCTCAGTTTTTCAGGTTCGAAGTATAAATTTCCACTGATGGTTTGATCTGCTGTATGACGAGGCACATTTCTTCTGTCACCACTAGAGGGAGCCAACCTCTAACTTAACATCCAGTAGGCGATGAAATATGGAAAATCTGTGACAGGAAGCTGCTAACATTGAATCCAAATATTATTATTACTTTAATTTGGTTGATTTATTTAAAAGGGGACAATTAAATTTAATAAAAAACATAATAATAATAATACATTTTATTTGAAAGCGCCTTATCACAACACCCAAGGACACTGTACAGGCAGATAAAAACATTAAAAACAGGAAGCTAAAAAGTACAAGCATAAAGATGCCACAACATGATGATTCATGATTTATATAAAAAAAAACAGAATTAGCCAAGATTAGCAGAGATGTCAAAAAAGCAAAATGATGTTATAAAAAATCCTCCATAATTCATACTGATGCTACATTTTTATTATTAGAACTATTATGAAAAGAAGAAGCATAAAATGGTAATACTGCTGGAAGGATGTAAATTATGTTGATCTAAAGGCAAACAAACTTTTTACAGCCCAATTATTCAAAGCTGAAAGAGAAATAAAATGAGTCTGAAACAAAGGAAGGATTCTCTGATCGTTTTCCTACCAAATATCATCCATCTTTTTATTTCTCCTTTAGGTTTCATTAGAAAAACCACAAAAGAAATCTAAGTTTTTACTTTAAAACACTATATTTTATTTCAATCATCCCCTTTGGAAGGTGACTTTAATGTTTGTATCTATGCTTCTTTTTCTATGTCTGCTTCTGTCTCCTTGAACCCCAGTGGGCCTCAGCAGATGGCCGCTCACACTGAGCCTGGTTCTGCTGGAGGTTTCTTCCTGTTCAAAGGGAGTTTTTCCTCTCCACTGTCGCTACAAGCATGCTTAGTGTGAGGGATTGCTGAAGAGTCAATGAGTCGATGCAATCAGCTGGTTTTCCTTAGATAGAAAACTTTGAATCAATCTGACTGGATGATCTGGTGAACTGGAAAGTGACCTGAGATGACATGATGTGAATTGGAGCTATAGAAATAAACTGAATAGAATTGAAATGAAGGGGCCAGACGTTCACGTTATGAAAGTGTTGGGAAAACAGTTTTTTACAGAAAACAGTGAAATATTTCAAAGTAAATGTTTGCAGCGGGTGGTGATACCGTCAGCTGGTTGCTGGTGATGCAGTGATGGCGCTCTGAGCCGTGGAAACCCAAGAAATACATTTTTCCTTAAATATCATGTTAATAAACAGAAAAGTGGATAAATTAATGTTATTGATTAATTTTCCAAAAGCTGCTAAAGTCCAGAGAGGAGCTTCCAGAACGTTCTGATCAAGCTTGTTTCCTCCTCCTCTTCCTCAGGACTCCCTTCATCACAAACGTTCTCTGCTGCTCCGTCAAACCGAGGATGCCCGGGAGCTGAAGGAGAACCTGGACCGGCGGCAGCGCGTGGTCAACGCCATCCTGTCCGGCTACCTCACCGAAACGCAGCTGCAAGACTACCGCCGGTTTGTCAGCGCCAAACCCTCGCTTCTGATTCGCCAGCGGCACCTCGATGACCTCATTCGACGGCGGGAGGAGCAGCTGAGCCGACTGACCGAGAGCCTTCCGGCGGAGCTGACTGAGGCTGGCGGCCGGACGCCAAGCTCAGCCCTGTGTCCCTCAACCCCAAGCCCCGCCCACTCCGTGAGGTCCACTGCTGTGACATCACTGTGATGTAAAGAGCAGAACCCTCCGACCTACAGTGTCATTCTTAGAGGTTTTTAAAGGATAGATTCAAATGAATGAATTTATTATCCCATCCAGACCCCAGCTGTCCTTAAAGGGACCTCTGTCCTTAAAGGGACCTCAGTAGGACCCCAGCTGTCCTTAAAGGGACCTCTGTCCTTAAAGGGACCTGATTAGGACCCCAGCTGTCCTTAAAGGGACCTCTGTCCTTAAAGGGACCTGATTAGGACCCCACCTGTCCTTAAAGGGACCTCTGTCCTTAAAGGGACCTCAGTAGGACCCAGCTGTCCTTAAAGGGACATCTGTCCTTAAAGGGACCTGATTAGGACCCCACCTGTCCTTAAAGGGACCTCTGTCCTTAAAGGGACCTCATTAGGACCCCAGGTGTCCTTAAAGGGACCTCATTAGGTCTAACCTCCTTAGGACCAGACACCTGCATAGAGGCGTCCCTCCTTGACCGCCCGCACACATGTCCAGCGACCGTGGACTGGACCGTAAAGGACGGAGACGTAGTTCCCATGCGGAGCAGGAACGCCGTCACTGCCGTCGCCACGCAGCTTGTTGCACTTTTCTCCTCCCTCAGTGCTCCTCCTCATGGAGGAGGCAGGAGGATCTCCATCACACGGCGATATGATGATCCTCTGGTCCGTTTGACGTAAAAACAAAATGGTTCCCAAAGATATTTAATTTTGTTGGCAGTGAACCGCGGAGGGACGGACCTTCGCCTCCGAGAGGTCGTCCCAGAAAAGCGCCTTCAATCGTCCGGCTGTGAGGATCTGTTTGAGAAAAGCAGCAGGACTCCTTATTTAAGGGGAAGTTTTTGTTCCATTAAAGCACTTTTTCAGCTCCTTCTGTTTCTGTTCTTCCTGGAAAAACTGGGACTTCTGGATGTTTAGGAAAACCAGTTAAAATGTTAGATTACATCACAGATTCTCTGTTTTTAATTGGAAATAAAAAATATTCACACTGATTCAACAAGGATTATGAAGCCAAATAAAAGACTAAATAAATAATCATTCACATATTTTCTTTGTTGGCGACTATTGTTGTTTATTTATTCACCTATATTATAAATGAACAGATTTAACAAACAGTCTATTCCATTTTTAGACACAATTATTTGTACTTTCTTTGGATCTATGGAATAAATTTTGCTCCACTATTATTGTTGCAAAGAAAATGTGTTTTATAAATGGATATTTTTTTAAATGCAATCCAGGAACGTCTTAATCAAAAATCGGCTCTCAGAGTAACTTTGCTGTTTTCTCAGATTTTATTATTTCAAATTTTCTAGATATTTTTTTTAAAATACAATTTTTTGTACAGTTTTTTTTTTCAAACTTTTTTTTTTAAAGATTATAGTTTTAAAATTTTATTTTTCCAAATTTCTCTTTTGCTAGTTGGTGCCTGGTTCGCTGCTGCCTTGGGCCGGCCCGCAGTCTAACACTTCCAATAAAAACCTTTAACATCATTTTGGATTTTTTTCCTAATAAAGTTATCAGACAGGATGAATCCAGCAGGGTTGATTTAACGGCTGTTTTTTTCCGCTGATGAGGCGCCGTCCCGCCATCCCGCCGTGGACCAAACCTGCCAGAGGTTCTGCTTCCTGCTGGAATCACATCATGACCCTGATCATGCTGCTCCTACTTATTATTCTCTTTTTAGAATTAAACACTTTCCTCTGAATTCTACTTTAATTATCACAGCCAATGTTTATGTGTGATATCCATACGTGACCTGAAGCAGCTTTTAATTCTTTTGTCTTTGTTCTGCTGTTAGTTCTATTTCAGCCAAACATCATAATGATGTTAGTTTCCAAAAAAGGAAAATTAAAATCAATCCTCTGGACTTTGTTTCCAGGTTTGAAGACGTTTCTCTTCCATCCAGGAAGATTTTTCATTCCAAATGTCAGAAATAGCGTTTAGTTCCAGGTTTTATCCAGCAGCCCAACAAAGCCTGGTTTTAGTTTAGAAAACATGCAGATAGAAACGGATGAACGGGTCCCCCCCTTTGGAATGGGGGTCGCTCAAATGACCCCCATTCCAAAGGGGGGGACCTGACATTTGAATTGAAAACGCTTCCTGGATTGGAAGCAAAACTTCTTCAAACTTGGAAACCAAGTCCGGTAAATTGTTTTTAATTTTCTTTTTTTGGAGTGACTCTGACCTGGATGACCTTGAATCTCCACCAGCCAGAGGCGTAACTAGAAAGTTTTTATAAAAGGCCAAAAGTGGACACCTTAAGGGTTAATCTACACTATTGCAACAGGAAAACAGCCTGAATAAAGACCTTTGCTAACAGATAGATGCATATATTTAAAATATCTGTGCTTTCTAGATAAAAGGTATAGAGGATATCGAACATCTTTCCCATTGTCATTACTGACCTACTTTTATCAACAATTATTCTGCATAAAATTGATATTTACAAAACTAATATCTTCATAAATCGATTATTAAGTTTTTATTAAAATAGTTATTTATCTATGATTTCAATGAAGACTCCTTTCAGAGACGCATCATTTTATCTTTACCCCATAAAATACAAAATCTGGTTCTGAAAAGAGCATTAATTGATGTTTATAATTAAATTAACCACAGTAGTTTGTTGTCAAGTAATTGTTAATATATGAAAAATTAAAATGTTTTAAATATTCCACTTGAGAGTATTACTGCTGCCACCGTCTGTATTACAGGGAGAAAAAAAGGCTAAGGGTGGCCATGGCCCCCCCTGGCCCCCCATCTAGCTCCGCCTCTGTCAGCAGCATGACTCATAGGTTCATATTTGAAATACGAAATAAAAACTTTATTAACAAGCAGAAGACATTTTCTCACTGCCACCTTTAAACAAATCAGTTTAGTTTTTATGGATTTAAATTGAAAAGTCAAGTTCAAGCAAAGACTTTCCTGTAACTTTACAGCCTTGATGAGGAAATATCTACAAATCGCCATTTTTCGGGTTAATGTTTACATTTAGATGTTTAGTATAAAAACAATAAATTTAACAGGAGCAAAAGCAGCAACATTAGACATCTGGGTTCATAGATAGTTGATATTTAAATCAGATGTTTCATTTTAATGAATCTAAACTATAAAGCTTAAACAGGGTTAAAGTTCTCCAGGGATCAGATGAAGGAAGATCAGAAACAAACATTTGATTCTATTTTCTCGGAAATTTAATTTTCTGGATGTAATTTTGGATAAAATCTTCCAGATTTATAATAAAATCTGAAATCTTGTGTTTTTCCTCCTAAAGCAGAATGTGAGGAGCCACGTGATGCTCGGACATCCGGGTTACCTTGTGGAATGCAGCAGGTGAGTTTGCGGTGGGCGGGGCTTAGATGAGCCGACAGAAACCAGTGATCGACCTTTGAGACCCGCAGGCAGCGGAGCTCCCAGTATGGCCACAGACTTCACTCTGGACTCGGTCCTGGTTTTCCTGCAGAGCTGCGGCGGCTCGGTGAGGAACTCGGACCTGCTGCTCCACTTCAGGCCTTTCCTGCGGGAACATCCGGATCACGTCCGGAACCGAGAACTCTTCAAAAAGTTCGTCAACTCCGTGGCGACAGTGACTAAGATCGACGGAGTGTCCAATGTGGTCCTCAGGAAGAAGTACAGAGGACATGTCCCCGGAGAAGGAGCCCTGACAGAAGGAGCGGACCTCCTCCCGGTCGGAGCCACCGGGAGGAGGTCCGCCCTGCCGGCGGCAGGCATCATGGAGGCGGACCAGGACCAGCTGGAGAACAGGTCCAACATGAAGCTGAGGGACGATCTGAGTCCTGGATCTGCAGCTGGGTCCGTCCAGGTAGGACACCAGGTCCCAGCCTCCGCCCTTGACAGACTGGTCTCTGTCCCTGCTGCTGCTGGTCCAACTGGGAGACATCAGGACTACAACCCTGGACCAGTCAGTGGACAGGAGATCCCAGAAAGAGAGGATGTTCCAGAACCAATAAAAAGACAAGTTACCCATCAGGACCCGGTTCCAGATCCGATCAGGGGACAGCAGGTCCATTATCAGGACCCGGTTCCAGAACCGATCAGGGAACAGCAGGTCCATTATCAGGACCCGGTTCCAGAACCGATCAGGGA